CACTGCTGTCAAAGCCATTAAACATTTTCTCAATGGCTGTGTAATTTTCACAATAATATGCCACAGCATCCAACCATGTACCCCACCGTGTGACGACAGGCTGTGGAGGAAGTGGCAGTAGAGGAGCTTCTTGTTTAAATTTCTGCACTCGAAGAGGGGCCTTGATGAATATTTTCTTTCCGTTTGAAACTAGCCTATCTACATCAGGAAAATGTCCTCGAACTTCTTCAGCCACTCTATGCAATGCATGAGCGAGGCAAGTAATATGGACCATTTTCGGGTAGAGGATTCGAAGTCCTTTGGCAGCCTTCTTCATGTATGGAGCGGCATCTGTTACTAGGAGAAGGACATTATTTCGCTGTATTCCATTTGGCCACAACAACTTCATGGAATTATCAAATAGGACAGCTATAGTCGAATGATTTGCTCTTTCGAGAACTTCACAGTCAAGAAGAAATCTCTCTCCAGGTTGATCTTGTTTCAGGGTCCCAACTATAACATTCGCAATATACCGCCCATCTACGTCAGAAGTCTCGTCCAAGGAAACCCATATCTTGTTGTCAGCAACAGATGTTCGAATCTTATTTAACATATCTTCATAACATGTAGAGAGATAATTCTTTCTTAACGTCGATTCACTTGGGATAGGATGACTAGTGTATGTCTCCAAAAATTGTCTGAAGTGCTGATTATGCAATTTCTCTAATGGAATATTCGAAGATACCATCCACTGACACAAATCGTTCGAAAATTCCGACCCATTGTTCGTTGAAGAAGGAGAAGAAGAAGAAGAAGAAGAAGAAGAAGAAGAAGAATTAGTGGAACTGTTTTTAAACAACAAACTTTGTCTGCTATCCTTTGTAGATAATCTGCTTAAACATTTACCATGTTTAAAAGTTTTACAATGCTGCTGCACAGTAAATCGCTTTTCTGCCGTAACTTTCACGCCACACAACTTACAATAAAATATCTTGCCATCGGTACTAAACACTTTTTCACCAAACTCCTGTACAAAACTACGCAACTTTGCGCTCCTTGAACTACATGTACTCACTTTAGGCATTGTAAAGTCAAACTGAAGTCTTATAACGCCCTCCACATATATAAATAGAATACTTCTAAGCCCTCCAAGAAAGAATGGGATGTATATACCTTATAGTAAGACGGAGTACAATAGGAGAATACCCGTTACACTTGCCTCCCTCCTGCCTCGACTGGGAAAGGCCGGCTTGCCAGGTCATAAATGCTGCATTTCACAAATTTTCGCCTTTGTAACTGCAAGTACAGTCCAGTCAAAAATATGGTTTTTAATACGAACTTCATGTACTTGAACTCTATTCCACATTGAAGCAACAATCCAGCCTGAAATTTATTTTGTAATACTAAACATTATGGAGCCGAAATTTTACATTATATCAAAGAATTGTTTCTAAAATGACAAAAATATGACCTTATTTCAAAATTATGCCAAAATATGCTGTAAAACCAATAAAACTCTAAAATATGCATTTATATGCACAATAAAAACGACATAATTTCAATAAGAATGACTGGAAACATGCATAATTACATTGAAAAATAGGAATAAACCCTAGGAAAAAAATATGACATGTCATAGAAATCCGGGCCCTAATCATTACTAATTTCATGCAAACTCTCATACCCAATTGTTGGTTTGAAAATGTCTACCCTCTCTACTTTGGCATTGAAATCTCCTAACAAAATTTTCATAGGGTACTTTGGGAATTTATCAAATACATGTTCTAGTTCTTCATAGAATCTATCCTTTATGTCATCAGTTTTATCTTCTGTTGGGGCGTGAACATTCATAATGATGATATCACACCAGTGATATCCTATCACTAACAAATTGTACCCTCTTAACTGCTGATACGATTCTCTTATGTATGAAAAAACCTGTACTGAATTCATGATTTTCATTCCCCTTTCCATAGAAAAATGTATAGTCTCCTGCTGGTGCGATGCCACCTCCATCCCATCTGACCTCGTGTACTCCCTCTAAATCTAACTTATATTTTAAGATTTCTTCTGCCACTGCCCTGTGCGAACCTGCCCTGTACAAACTTCGTACATTCCGAGTGCCAAATCTCATATTCATTTTCATTAGTTTAGGTCGTTTATCCATGGAATCAGTCCAGGTCCGAGGCTTTATGTTCATTTTTGTAACATAATGATTTTTTATGTTGAGGAGTTGTTAGCCCCACGCCCAACCCCGAAGCTGGAAGGCCACCCCTTGTCGGCTGTCTGGAACTGTTTATTCAATATATTTGCAGCTTCCCTCCAAAACTGGAGGGCGTCTCCTCCATCCGCAACCTGAGGATGCGCCATGCCATGGTGACAAGGGGCCCACCTAACATGGTTTTGAGTAAACTAAAAATAAAATAAAAAATTTTAACTTATGACAGGTACTTTGAGAACTGTGAGATGGGGACCCTACTATCTTCATCTGAGTGTAAGGCTCGAAAGTTTTGTGATAATTCATTGAAAATAATGTGCTGCTCACACAAGTTGTTGTGTGATATGTCCTTGTAAAAGGACCTCTGAAGTTATAATGACATCGTGTAATACCGGCTTAATGAACCCTGGTAGTGAGCTCTGTTAAACCTAAAAAAATAAAATTTAGGTCATAATATTACTGATAAATGTAAAAAATAGATCCAGTTTAATAATTCAGTAACAAGATATGTATGTATGGAAGTAAAAAATTATCCATGCTCTTGTTTTTCCAGTTTATATACACAAAAGTAGGGGTTGAACAAGTACATCATTTTTCTACATAGTCTCCTGCCTTTTCAATGCACTTGGTCCAGTGGTCCACAAGCATACGTATTCCCTCCAAGAAGAAGGTTTTCGGTTGGTCGCGCAACAATTTATGCACTTCTTCCCACACTTCTTTGTCCGCAGAAAATTGACATCGTAAACCATCTTTGAGTGGTCCAAAGAGACCATAGTTGGAAGGGGCGATATCTGGGCTGTAGGCAGGTTGTTCCAGCACCTCAAAACCCAAATGGTTAGTTGTTTCAACCATCTGGCCAGCCATGTGTGGGCGTGCATTGTCATGCAACAACAACAACACTTTCTTTGACAGTAGGCCTCAGCGTTTGGTGTGAATTGCTGGCTTCAGATTGTTGGCCAGCAAATCACTGTATCTTGCACGTTTGATCATGCACAATTTTCCAGGTAGTGTTCCAGTATAGGCCCTTTTGAGTCCCAAAAAATGGTTAGCATCATCATGATTGAGTCTTGAATTTCTTCTTCATTGGCGATCCTGGGTGTTTCCACGCCATACTCTGGCTTTTGGATTCTGGTTCATAGTGATGGACCCACCGATGAATTTCAGCCCCTGACACACCTTCTAACCAGAGAAATCGGATCACTGTTCTATGGTCCTCCTTGGTGCACACTGCTAGCAGAGCGGCCATGTTTACACTGTCACAGTGTCAAGGAAAATGACATGATCAAAGTCAAACTTCCATCACGTGACCACAGTAGTACCAACTCTAAGATGCATGCGCAGAAGGCAGTGTGAAAAAAACCTAAAGACGTGTTATGGCGAAAGTCTGGATAATTTCTGACTTTCCCTCATAATTCATAAATACCACCTGATGATGATCTTGATAGATCTGTGGGAACCACCCACATTAAACCAAGCATTTAATGACAACACACTTATTGTACAATTATCACTGGGAATTATTCACTTATGTGCAGTGACTCAATAATGTATGTATCCACGGAACCAAATCAAGACCCCCAGATTTGCACTACGCGGTCGGAATGAAACTATTTAAGGAAGGACCCTATCCCCAGTGCCTTGGGGTATAATTGGGCCACCCTGTTCTTGGGGGATATAAATGCGGGGACCTGGCCCTCTAGGTTGGGGGAGTCTTGAATCTGAGATAGTAAAATGTGGTAATGAGTCCCACGGTATTTGGATCTGAGAATGACTTTGCTGGTGAGGACCAGCAGCAAATGTAAATGACAGACTCATCCTCTCCTCAGAGAAAATGTTACATAAGGACTATAACCTCAAGTGTTCAGTTGGAAAATAAAATTTCAAGTCGTGGGTCTCAACGGGCTTCTCACCGAGACAAACTGACTGGCGGTAAACTGCCAGTTGTAAAGAAACTCTAACCCTGACTCTCAGAGAACCAATTGTCTTCAACCAGTCTACCTGCAGTCTGCAACCTGCAAACTGCATCCTGCAGTTCTTGAACTGAAGTACGTTTGCATATGCTATATAACTCCAATAAATAGTTGTATAGAAGTTTAATAAGTGGTTGTCTCTTCATACATGGACTCTCACATTTGTGACCCTGACAAACAACAGTGCAGACTGGTCAACTCAGTACTCATGGAAATATCCAGAGTGACCGTGTGGACCATGTAAGGGCCATACTTGCTGGCCAACCCAAGGGCAACTTGGATGCCGCGGGCTGCTGAGCAGACCGCATCGAGGCCTACCTACCTTATTTTGAAGAAGAAAAACCTAGGCTTACGAGATCACGATGCTGACCTGTGTGTCTGTTGAATGCCAGAACCAGCCTTTATGAAATTTCCTATGTATATCATGGCATATGAGTTCATCTCTCGCATCAGTTTGTGTCTGAATATGTATCCGCCTACTCTTGCTAGGCAGTGGCATAGTAAAAACATTACCATGGCAACAAATGCACATACAGCAATACAAGAATTGTTGTACGTTTATTTTCTATGCAGTCCATGTTGTATCAAAGGAAAGTAGGCATTTAGTTCTTCCCAAAATTTCTTCTTTGCATAGAGATGTTGGAGTGGGGGCATATCACACTTTTTCACATGTTCTGCTACTTTATCCAGAATTCATTCTCATTAGCAGTATAATTAGTAGTAACGAATTATACCAACTGGTACATTATTATGAAGTAGGTATTCAGCATATGAGAATATGAATGAGCCAAATGGGTGTTTCAGTAAACAGTAACAGATTGCATTGTGTTTAGGGCTATGTAAGTTGGAAGCATGAGGCAGACAAAGTTGTGGCTTTTGAGCGAGCGGAGCTGCTGTTTATCTTCAACTTCCATCCAATCAAGAGTTTCACTGACTATCGTATAGGGGTGGAAGTGCCCGGGCAGTACAAGGTGGCCCTTGATTCAGATGATGGGAAATATGGAGGCTTCCAGCGAGTGGATGCAAATGTTCCACATTTCACTTATCCTGAAGAATTTGCTGGTAGAAGGAATTCAGTTAAGGTAAAAGGAAAGCCTTATTACACTGAACAATTTTCTTGTTTCATTCATTCCTCTAACCTGTATTATCTGAGAATAAGGGATTTAAACTCCCTGCTGCTGTGGGCTGTATTTTAGCTTGAGTGTAATTATACATGTATTAAAATTATATGACACTACATCTCTTGGACCACATGCATGATGTGACACATGGCTGATGAAGGTTATTATTATTATTATTATTATTGGAGGGGTGAGTTTCCCCATGCGCTGTGACTAATAGTCTATTGTACGTCCCCCTTTGATATTCTACCAGTCGCCATACCCTACCGGTACTGGTGCATGCTATCAGCCCTGTTCAGCCAACGAGGTCGGCCCTCAGTACCTGATACTTCCCCCCTCTATCAGAGGCATTGGAAACTACTTGGGCGGGAAACTTTTTGCCTAATTTTGCTCAGAGGTCTCCTAGAGACATGAGGATCTTTTACGTGATGAAGGTTAACTGCATAGGTTTGCCTTTGCCTATACTTCATCCCCCACCTTCTTGTCACTCTTTGAAAAGTAGTGGTAACTTCCATGTGTCATAACAGCAAGAATGGCTTGCTTGTATTTAAACATGTTTTGAGGGATGTTATAATTTCTCTAGTCATTTTATATTGACTTAGCGTGACAGCATAATTATTTTGAGTTTTGAATAGTCTGAGTGAAAAACTCTCTGCCAGGCTGGGAACTGAATATGTAACTTTCATTATTCTTCAAAATATTGTCTTCAGATATGATATAAAGCATGCCATCTTATTCATTGTTTGCACAGTGTGGCTTGAGTTCTTTAGCTTAAAGTGCTAGACATTACAGGTATGTCTTCAGTTTATTGTCAGTAGTGTTTAAGGCAGTGTTTCTCAATTGTTAGGATCCCTCTGGTGGAACTTGATGGTCACTTGGGTTGTGTGAAAGGCCCCCAAAATAATAATTAATTCAGTTCCATGAAAGGCACATACACAAACATGTTTCTGCAGTCTAAGCACAAGGTCCTCAATAAGGTTGCAATATAATTATATTTCTTCTAACAAAACTATGGAAAAAATTATTACAGTATTCTAGTTCTTAAAAACTTGTATTAATAATTATTATAACACTAAAATGTACATATTTATGAAATACACTTTTTGTGAATGAGATGCTCAGTTTCATTGTGATGGGACTATATTTTCTTTCTTTCTTTCTTTCTTTCTTTCTTTCTTTTTTTTTTTTGGCAGCAGGGTTTATATGTAAAAGTTGAGAATCGCTGATGTAAGAAATATTTTATGAAGCAGCCAGGTGATATTTGTGTCAATTTTTTTCAGCTGTACCTGCCATCACGCACAGCGCAGGTGTATGAAAGGGTGTAGTTCCTGCAGGCAAGGTGCCTTGAAATGTCAATTGCCACATATTTTGAGACATTTATTAGTAGTTCAGAACTTCCATATAGATATTTTGGGGTAAGTAAAAGTTTACGGCCATAGTGCATAATTAGTGTGATTGTCAGTCTGAGTTTGAAGTAACCTGAATAATCTGATATATCTGTAATAAATATATTCTCTAGCATCCTGCTGTGTTTTATCCACCATACCAATGATAATGTTCGTCATGCTTGTTTCACTCTTGATATAACAGTGATGTAGCTGGGACTTCGTGAATACTGTACTATTTCTTTGTAGTACATAATTATGTGGTTGAAAGAAGTCATTGGCCTTATTGCACTCATTTGAAAAACCTGGAATGTAAAGGATTAGGCTGGGGTCACACGAGCGCACAAAGTACGTCCATTGCAATGGATGTACTTCATGACGGACGTTGCTGAGGACACCACACAGTTGCAGAATGTGGTGCGTAGTTTTTGTCTGCAATGGAGCTAGAAGAAAGCATAGCATTCGCCTCTCTTGTTTATTTCTACAGCGGACGCATTTTGTGCACTTGTGTGGCCCCAGCCTTAATTGGACAGCTGGTGATTGTGACCAACATACCATTGTGAAATCTCTCACACTCCACAGAGAACACTGATATTAAAATGCATGGTGAGTTTTGTTGCCATATTACATGGAAACACTGATCTGAACTAGCTTTGAAATAATTTGGAATGATGATGAAAATTATTTTAATACCAGATTGCATGCAAAGATTATGATTGACATACTGAGCCTGACAGTTCACATAGGAAACTGAATTTTGTAGGATTTGATTTGGTTTTCTATTTCTGTGTTCACTACTTTCATTATGGGTTCCTTTGTATCCAAATACAACAGTTAAGTTTCATATTACTGATAATCCAAAACAGGAATGGCCCATTATAATCACATACACAGTGGAAGACCACAGTTGCATACAGTGAAACCCCTGATTAAGGTTTCCTCATGAAGTTGTGGATTTAAACTCTAAACTGAGTTACTTCTTAAATGGAAGAAATTTAACTCTGAGATTATTGACTAAGGATTGTTGAAATTGAATTTAACTGAAAGAAAATATTAAACTGAACATGAAATGGGTGTTCACTGTAATTCCATACAAAGTTAATTGTTATTATTTGGTTTTTGTCTTCTTGCATTTGGAAAGGCTGTGTAGTTCACAGTAGAACAGAGAGGCCCATTGAAAGTTACAGGGTAAGAAGTGTATTAATATAGTTTCATATGAGATTTCATAGATTATTGTTAGTAGTGACTTTGAAGTAAAAGAATACTGATAGAAGAAATAAAAAAAATTACTGCAAACTGGGTGGGTGGGTGTGTGTGTGTGTGTGTGTAGAATGAAAGCTATTATTTTTTTCGTAAGTTATGCATCTTGTTGTGCATAACACCAATATGCAGTATACCCCTCAATCAAAACATTTCCTTTTTCAGTACTGATGTTTTATTGAAATATTATCATATACATGTTTCAGTCTTTTGACTATCATCAGGCATTTTCTAGATAATAAATTGTGTTATTATTTGCTACTAAACTCCTTATGCAACAGATCTGTTGTTGTTACGCATGTCATATAAGTATAAACAATACATACAGGGTGTTTTTTAATAAAATTGATGTGTTCACAGCTCTGTGCTTCACTGCTACTGGCACACTGCTGGCTGCAAAGCGCACAAGAATTTTGCCGATGACTCAGCATGCCTATAATATTTGGAATGAAGGGAAGTCTTACCTTTGTTCACAGATCACTGGAGGTGTTGAAAATGCTGTCCCTCTAAACGTAAATATCTTTCGCAATTAATTGTTTTGTTAAAAAACACATACAACAATCCTTCTTGCACTTACAGCACACCAGACACAAACTTTCACTGGATGGCTTGAGCAATTGTGTTGCTGTTCTTGCACTAGACAATCCAGTCTCTTGAGTTAGACATTTCGGTGATTTTCTAGGTCTATGTTCAAGTCTGGCCCCTGTGCCATCTGACTTCTCCTCACTAAGCAATCAGTGCTTAAGAGTCCTGTTGTTATAAGTTTATTCACCTAATTATGAATTGTTTGTCTGCTGGGAACTCTTTCATCACAAGCTTTACATTGAAATTTTTGTGAACACTATCCAGCAGATGTGTATTTCACGTAGGTGTCATACAGAAATACACGTTGCTCTAAAGTATTGCAAACCATGTCGTGCCATACTGCTGACTAACTGTTAACTGGGAACAAATGGCTCATGGCACTGTTAATTACTGCCTACTGCTGACAAATCATAAAGAAACTCCACATGCATGAATTGTACTGCCCACCATGTAACATAATACTGGGTAGAGGTCTACAAGTTTATTATTTTCCTTCATTCCATACATCATTGGCCATCAAGCATGCTGAGTCAGTGACAAAATTTGCATGCACTTCGTGGCCAGCAATGGACCGGTTGTGGTAAAGCGCAGAGCTGTGAACTTGTCAATAGCATTAAAAGTGTCTCTGTTTATTTACACAGAAGTACACAATGTTTTATATATATAAATACAAATATAACTATAATATTTGTTGTCAGTTGGTAAAACTCTTGAAATCTTATTATTTCTAGATTGTAAAAGGTTGTCTTATTTTCATAATGTGGAGGTCATTATGGGTGGAATTGGGTGTGGGGTAAACTGTGACTGTTTTCAAATTCTTTTTTGTGGTGACATGGATTTTATGGGTGTGTCTTATTATTTTCTGTGGTTTATCTGCTGTTATTTATTACACTGTGATATAGACATACATAGTTAGTACCTACAACTCCAATTTACATTAATATTAACATCACAAAAAGCTCCTTTCCAGGAAACAATATCTCCGGACTGGAGATAGGGGCTAGCTCTATCTATTGGACTCAACTGAGTATGTTTTACCTGAGGGTGGGGACAGAATCCAGTCTCCGAAACGTGTTTTAAAATAGAAACAGGATTTTTTTTTAAATAGACAAGACAATGGATAATGTCCAAAAACATAGTACTTGTAGGAAGGAGAGTATGTAGAAAAATGACGTACTTGTTCAACACCTACTTTTGTGTATATAAATTGGGAAACAAGAGTGCAGATAATTTTTGATTTCCCTATGTATTATCTTGCATTTGCAGTTTTATCTGTAAATTAGAAATACATTATAAGAGAATGGCAATTATCTCCAGTCTGGAGATAGGGGCTAGATCTGTCTATTGGACCCAACTGAGTAGGTTTTACCTGAGGATGGGGAAAGAATCCAGTCTCCGAAACGTTGTGTTTTAAAATAGAAACAGGACTTTTTTGTTTTTAAATAGACAGACTATGGATAATGTCCAAAAACATAGTACTTGTAGCAATTTAACATCGTCACAAACTTTTAGATCTTGGTCTCCTTCCTTTTTGATGCACTTGGTCCAGCGGTCAACAAGCTTACGTATTTCATCCAAGAAGAAGGTTTTCAGTTGGTCACACAACCATTTATGCACCGCTTCCCGCCCTTCTTTGTCCGTAGAAAATTGACAACCTTATAAACCATCTTTGAGCTGTCCAAAGAGATGTGATAATAGTCGGAAGGGGCGACATCTTGACTGTAGGCAGGGTGTTCCAGCACCTCGAAACCCAAATGGTTAATGGTTTCAATGGTCTGGCCGGCCATGTGTGGGCGTGCATTGTCATGCAACAACACTTTCTTCAACAATAGTCCTCAGCGTTTGGTGTGAATTGCTGGCTTCAGATTGTTGGCCAGCAAATCACTGTATCTTGCACTGTTGATCATGCACCCTTTTTCCAGGTAGTGTTCCAGTATAGGCCCTCTTGAGTCCCAAAAAACGGTTAGCATCACCTTTCCCGCGGAGGATTGAGTCTTGAATTTCTTGTCCGGCCACTTTTAAACTTCTCAATCCACTCATACACACTTCTACGCAGTAGAGCACTGTCCTCATATTGTGTTGAAAGCCTCCAATGAATTTCAGCCCCTGACACACCTTCCAGCTAGAGAAATCAGATCACTGTTCTTTGTTCCTCCTTGGTGCACACTGCTAGTGGAGCGGCCATGTTTACACTGTCACAGCATCAAGGAAAATGATGCAATCAAGGTCAAATTTCAATCACATGACCACAGTAGTACCAACTCTAAGCATGCATGTGCAGATGGCAGTGTGACAAACCTAAAGATGTGTTACGGCGAAAGTGCCGATAATTTCTGACTTTCCCTCATGTGCCCATTGACAATAACAACGTAATAAGCACCTATATCTACAGAACATCATAGTGTATTGAATAGAGCAGATAAATGAGCACAGACAATAATAAGACACTCCCATGCAATTCGACACATGACAACCCCCACATTATAAAAATAAGACACACTTTACAATCTAGAAATAATAATATTTCAAGAATTTTACTGACAACAAATGTTTTATATTTGTATTTATATATGTAAAATATTGAGTACTTGTATGTGTATATATATATAT